ATTCAAACGAGAAAACTAACGACATGATTTACGTTCAAAATAATGAACGAAAAACAAATACAATATACAGCGACAAACGACAACCACTGACTTACAGGCTCCTGACTAGAGACAGGTACATACAGAATGTGGCGGGATTAAACTGGTTTGTTGGCGCCAAACCCTCCCCCTAACCTTGGACAGTGGTGCTACGGTACAATACAAGAACAAACTATACAAAACAATAAACGAAAAACAAATTTGAGAAACAGCAATAAACGACAACCACTCAATTACAGGCTCCTGACTTGGGACAGGCAAATAAAGAATGTGGCGGGGTCAAACTAGTTTGAAGGCGCCAACACTCCCGTTAACCTGGGACAGTTGTGTAACAGTACAACATAAGAACAAACTATAAAAATCCGTTGAAAAGAGCTTACCTCATCAGATAGATACAAAGCAGAAATACATCTTACAAAAACACGTGTGGACGTGGCAGGGTACTTATACATTCCCACAACAAAAAGAAACTAAGTACAGATATGAGAGTACTCGCAATTACTGACAGCTAGTTCGAAGCCAATAACAACTAATAACAAAAATCATGCATCTGCTTGTATTGAATGCCAACATTCAGTATTTTACCTAAATACACCATCATTCTTATCAACATGTGGACTTACGCTGTATGTACCCCGTGTCAATCAACTAAATTTCTGTTCGTTTCCGTACTCTATACTTTGAAGTTGATTTGTTTGGATGTCTAATCAGAACCCCGCCCATTTTAGTCACTACTCTATGGTAATGCCACGTTTGTTGTCTATGTACTAGCGTTTTGATGCAGCTCTCTCCAACGGTCCTATACTTTTTGCAGGACATATATGGTGTCACTCACAACATACTTTTTTTTCACACAACTAGCACTAGATTTGGGACGGAATTCTATAAGAGCTGTATATATGTCGGACATGTGTACCCGGTTATTGCATGGTATCAACTCAATACAGTTCCACTCTGCTCTGCTGCATACCATTACTTTATATTGTAACCCGTGCTATAGGAACGTAGTTTGTGTCTTGGGAAACAACCTATAAAAACATCGTATCCCATCATGCATATTGTTATTGCTTGCAGAAATAGCCATCTGGTAATACATTTTCAAGACATAGAAAAGCATAGTTGTTGCTTTGATGACGCGAGTGTTTTCTTTTGATGTTATCTTTTTTTTCCTATTTCATTACATCCTTTTCACAGGCACTCCTCGAAGGAGGTCACTATTGGTGTTCTTTAAGGAAGATGAATGTCAATGCACCACTGAGACAATCAAGTACAACTATCACGCTCGCGTATCGCAAGAACTGAATGCTTATTTTATTCCATATGTGTTACAAGATGAATGTCTTTTGTGAACAACAAATTAGCTAACATCTGCGTCAGACAGGAATATAGCCCCAAAGCATGATTCAGTATGTCCTGCATGGGACATGCTAACTGGATCACGTCAGTGTTCGGCAGTTCTTGGTGATCCACAAATAATGTCTCTATCTGATTCATCTCGTCATTGGGAAAATAAATCATGTTTTGATACCAAGAGTTCTGATGGTTCTCACTATTAATGATATGTGTTCTCCTTCCTATTCATCATATAATTGCTTGTGTTTGCTGCTTGTATGCTCCCAAAAACAACCGATTCATGAGCTCCTCTCCTTTTTCCTTGTTGCAAATATCCCCCTTGATCTTTTTTGCACTTTGAATTAGTTTTTTTAAATGCACAGTTGGGAAACTAGACAAAATGCTTACAAACACGCTTAGCGGAGTCTGTAAATGTTTTCTTGGAGATAATCTTTGACAAGGAGAAACCTTTTCCTCCAATTTTATGGCAGAGAACGAAAATTTGACAAAGTGTTAGCAGTCAAACAGCTGTCAGAAAAATATTCTTTTAACAACTCATTTTACAGATAAATTAAACAATTAGGATGAAATAGTTTACATATTGACGACTGCTGTTTACAAAAAAAAAACATTGCATCTGCTTAAAGCAGAATTGTGATGTCATATCTGCAACAGATTTGGAAAAGACAATGATAGCTATACAACCTTCTATCCTGACTTCCTCTAAATCAACTATATCGAAGTAGTTAGTTGTCATAGAACAATACCCAATAATTATCAAGAAAACTGTAGCTGAATTGTAACCTTTCTTCAATTCCCTTTCCATTTCCCTATCAAAACTCTTGCTGAATTTTTACCTTTCTTCCAATTCCCTTTCAATTTCCCTATCAAAACTCTAGCTGAATTATAACCTTTCTTTAATTCCCTTTCCATTTCCCTATCAAAACTCTAGCTGAATTGTAACCTTTCTTTAATCCCTTTCCATTTCCCTATTAAAACTCTAGCTGAATTGTAACCTTTCTTTAATCCCTTTCCATTTCCCTATCAAAACTCTAGCTGAATTGTAACTTTTCTTTAATTCCCTTTCCATTTCCTTATCAAAACTCTAGCTGAATTGTAACTTTTCTTTAATTCCCTTTTCATTTCCCTATCAAAAGCAATCAAAGAATATGAAGTATGATTTAAAAACTGTTTTCTTACACCCGATAGTAGGATACAAAGGCTATATCATTATCAAGTACTGGAAGGGAAAGAAATTATTTGGCTGTCGTGATATATAAGTACGCATCCGGTACGAGTATGATGTAGTGTATATACTCGAACAACTACTCTTACATAGGAGCGTTTGGTTGTTTAAATATTTGCAATCACGCAAGAATGAGTGAGGATTGTAAATACACTTTTGTCGGGTTTTCAATTAATTACCTACAACCCGCAACCAAATTTGTATAGTCAAGTGTACCTTCCATATGGTCATATTTACTACGACTTGTTATGTATGATTTTGAACACCGGTATACTACTGTTGCCTTTATTTATGTGTGATTATGTTCTTAAAAAAGATATGACTATTAGGATTTTTTCAAAAACTGAAAACGTCATGTTTTTTCGTTTGAATATTGATTTGTTTACCTTTTATCGGCGGTAGGGTTCGGGGGATGGGTATGTGTTCTTGGCTTTTTATTTGTATTGCATCATTTTTTTTTCTATCAAAGGCATTGGTATTCCTGAAAATTTAGCCAAGAAATGTATAATTAAGAACTGTATTAGAATATGGGTAAAACTGTATCTGGTAAAATGTCTGTAGCTTTAATTACTTTAAATAATAAATATAACAAGGTCAGGTAGCCGCCAAAGAACCTGTTCACGATAAACTATCTTAACAATAAAACGCTTTTAGAATCAATTAAAATTAGAACTTACTGAATGATTTTCATACATTTCGATCATTGAAAGTCTCTGCTACGCCAGAAGCTAAACAGTTAAATAGCTTTACATTCTTCACATACTTGATTGGTTTTGAATGTCTTTTTATGAATTGAATGTCTTACAGACATATATGAAACTATTTATATGCGAGACAGATTTACAAGTCGAACGGAGGAACAACTCTAATTAAACTTACGAAGCTTGCTAGATTTTCCGATGGTATCTTTGTCGAACAGCTTCACTACTCGTCGTTACTGTTGATATTTTTGATACCTCTGGTTTTAGGGTTGAGCTCAGTTTCGCAATAAAACTCTCGGGATTCATCGAATGCATACTATGTTCGATGTTGCGAAGAAATACAACACAAACACTAAATAAGTTTTTTTTTTGCATTCACAAAAAAACACATTTCACATCAAAATCATATATGAAGGTGAATGAAGCTTAATGCCATACCGTTGATATATGCAATATCGTGGTTAATTTTTCATGTATGTGTCAATTAATCAATTTGAATTCAATCTCAATAACGCGAGATTTTCATGTCACTCTATGAACTTATAATATGTTTTGTATTTTTTTCTTCAAGATAAACTATGTCATCTATCATGGAAGTCTAGGTGAAACCAAATACCGATTGACAATACATAGCTTGGTATCTTCCAGTGATGTAATAAATCCACTTAACTCTTTTGAGTAGGATAGTCAGAGATTTATACCTCGTATTGATTATCGACGTTCAATTCTGCGATAACGTCCTCTTTTCAGACTGTAGGCAGGCAATTTTAACGGAAGTCAATGTTATGCCAATCACATCAATTGGTGTAGATTTAAATGTTTATAAATAACCATGGTATTTTGCCTTTTTATGGTTGATTCATTTCACACTAAATTTACGTTTAACATAATAGAATGATTGTCAAGCAAATTAACCTTTTGGATATTTCGTTTACACCTATGTTTATGTTTTATAGTAAAGCTCAATGCCGTACTAACACCATAGATAGTATTGTTCTAAATGCCGTACTAACACCATAGATAGTATTGTGCTAAATGCCGTACTAACACCATAGATAGTATTGTTCTACGACGTTATAATTAATCAACTAGAAATTACACTAGATTATGAATGTTGGATTAAATGTCACACAATCAGCTTATAAGCTGTCAATAAAGTTCAAACTTGTTTCCGAATCCCATATTTGAATTTCATGTAACATTGTAATACTTTATTGTTGTAATTTTTCATTAATAAATACTGTTTAAACTAAAGTTCAACGTACTTCAAACTCATCTCAGAAAGTTCTTTCTCACGCGAACAACATTTTAATTGCATGCTGTTTTCAATGCTACAATCAATCAATTTTACAATAATAAATTTACCTAAAAAAGAGATGGCAGGTACCAAAGGGACATTCAAAACTCATAAAGCGAAGAGAAACTGACAACGTCATGGCAAAAAACGGAAAACGACAAGAAGACAAACAACAGTCTACAAAACACAACATGGAAAACTAAAGACTGAACAACACAAACCCAACCAAAACACCAGAGGTGATATCATGCGTCCGGAAGGAATAGCAGATCATGTTCCTCACATGGTCCCCGTCGTGTTGTAAGGTTAGGGCTAAATACTTAGTTTAGTTTACACTATCAATTCATGTACTGCAATGCATCAATTTATCCAATTTATAACTCACCTATGAGAGTACAGCTAAACGCCACACCAACTACACATATATTGTTGTCCTTTACTGCACCTATGAATCCACTAACCTGTGTTCCATGACTGAAATATTAAAACAGGTACAGCATCCTGTCAAAAACTCAGTACTGAGAATCATTTTCATATAAAAGCTTAACAAATATATATTAACTCAAATCGGTAGTTTTTTATTGATGGTTTCAAAAATAAATTTGTTAAAAACCCAAGGTTTATTTTATCTTTTTTCAATCTTATTTTATTTTAATTTACTTGAACTTTCAATGGCTGATGTTTACAACGATTTTTCGGCTCTTTAAGACTATGACTGTCAACGATACCACTTTGACTGACTATTTATAATAAAAAGAATATCGTTTTTATTGCTGTTCTTCATTTTTACAGTTACTTGAAGTTCCTACAAACTGCCTCAGGCAAAAAGGGGTAAAATATACCAAAGGGGACAATAAAAAGGCATAAGTCGAAAAAGAACTCATCTTTTGAACAGACCCTGTACTCTCACTTTCACCGACAACTAAAAACTTATGTGTTAGCCGTACAGAAGTATGTTTTCATTTATACGTTACTTTAGTTGCCAGGCCACGTCTTATTGAAAACCAAAATGGGATAAAGTTCATAATTCGAAAAAGTTTTTGAGGCTTTTTCCCAAAAATCATTTTGAAGAAAATTGTACGAAATCGAAGTGAACTTAACCAGGCTTGTTATGAATATAAATGATCTTCGGTTGTCGTTTGTTGCTGTGTATCATATTTGATTATCGCTTATTGTTTGTACATAAATCAGGCCGTTATTTGTCTCGTTTGAATTGTTTTACACTTGTCATGTCGGGCCTTTTATAGCTTGCTATGCGGTATGGGTTCTGCTCATTGTTGAAGGCGTACTGTGACCTATAGTTGCGAACATCTACGTCATTTGGTCTCTAATGGAAAGTTGTCTCATTGGCAATCATACTACATCTTCTTATTTTTATATAAATTATCTGCCAGTACTGAGCACATTTTATAAACGTATTAATCCCTCTGTGCAAAGATTACCAGACCATTTCTTTCCGAATAAACAATTAGGAGTTTAGATAAGCTGAACCGTTATCAATTTGAATAGCATTTTAAGCTATTTCTCTTAAAAAATTAAGATATCTGAAAGAAATCGAAGGGAAATTAATTCCGATTGTTATGAAATTATACAGTTGGAATCAGCCCTTAACTCTCTTCAGAAATGTCAGAATAAGGTGTCCTAAAACTGTTCTACGCTGCTCTAGAACATATAAAATTAAGGAGATAATAAGACAACTATCCACAAGAGACCAAATGACACAGAAATTAACAATTCCAATTGAAAGGAGCAAAGACTGGCGTCCAGAATATGAACCAGCACACAGGAATTGAATAAAGTAAAAAGACAAAACTGTTCGGCTAACAACGTAAAACAACTATAGGTCATCGTACGGCCTTCAACAATAAGCAAAACCAATACCGCATAGTCAGCTATAAAAGGCCCCGTAATAACAATTGTAAAATAATTAAAACGAGAAAATTAACGGCCTAACTTATATACAAAATAATGAACGAAAAACAAATATGATATACAGAAACAAACAACAACCACTGATATACAGGCTCCTGACTTGGGACAGGCGCCCAACCCTCCCTCTAACTTGGGACAGTGGTGTAACAGTACAACATAAGAACAAACTATAAATATCAGTTGAAAAAGGCTTAACTCATCAGATGGATACAAACAGAAATAAATATAACAAAAACACAGAGTGGACGTGGCAGGGTACTTTTTCATCCCCACAACAAAAAAACACTAAGTACAGATCTGAGAGTACTCGCAGTTAATAACAGCTAGTTCAAAGCCAATAACAGCAAATAAAAAAATCATGCATCTATAGAACAGTTATACTTTTAAATTGTTCTAGGTTAGAATAATCAGAATCTGTTCTTGTGTTAGGACTGTCAGAATCTGTTCTAAGGTATAACTGTTATAATCTGTTCTAGGGGCAGGACTGTCAGAATCTGTTCAAGGGGTAGGACTGTCCGCATCTGTTCTAAGGTATAACTGTTATAATCTTGTCAAGGGGTAGGACTGACAGGATCTGTTCTAAGGTATAACTGTTATATAATCTGTTCTAGGGGCAGGACTGTCAGAATCTGTTCGGGGGTAGGACTGTCAGAATCTGTTCTGGTGTTAGGACTGATAGGATCTGTTCTAAGGTATAACTGTTACAATCTGTTCTAGGGGCAGGACTGTCAGAAACTGTTCAAGGGGTAGGACTGTCAGAATATGTTCGGGGATAGAACTGTCAGGATCTGTTCTAAGGTATAACTGTTATAATCTGTTCTAGGAGCAGGACTGTCAATCTAATTAAAATATAGAACTCTGATTTCATTCGTATGAAATCAGAGTTCTATATTTCAATTAATCTCTTCAAGGGTTGAACAATAGAATCGTTGCTGGGGGTATCCAACAATATATATATTACCATATATCAGCCGCAAGTCATATGAACCTGTTAAGGCAAGTTGGTGTCGCGAACGAGCTTAACACCTTTATATAACGTCTAGCCGCTGATATTTTACGATATTAATCTATCTGCTGATAACATATTCACCGTATTGTGATGAACATATTCACCATATTGTGATGAGTGTTTCCTCGTTTCAAAACTTCATAAGTTTCCTTTAAAAACGACCGGTCAAAATATCATTTTATTATTGACCTCTCTGGTTCAAACGAGATTATATTCATTTATTTTAAACTGCGATACAAATTTTTGGCACTGCTAAACAGAACGCTGTAGATAGGCATAAACATTTACTAAATTTTATCATCGGTACAAGGACATCATTCGTAAATATTAATCAACATGCAGACATCTTATACGTTCAGGTATTTCACATTCAATCTTTTATGGTAATATTCTATACAAAGCATAAAAATGTCGACATTCATCTTAAAAGTTAACCAAACCTTTAAACAGACTTATTCAGAAGGGATATAGTTACGATACTGTTGTCAGGTCATTAAACATGGCATATCTTGGAATTAATATTGATTCACTCATAGGGTCTTTGCATCGGAAATAAACACATTTATTTAAAACCAGTTGTTGGTGTGATACGGTTTAAGTTCTTCTCATATATTTTATGATGGTATGATACTTAACCCCTAACGGGAGGGATTGTACTTGATTTTCATATGATGAAGACATAATCTTTCAATCAGTTAATTTGAGGTCTGGAGCTGGCATGTCAGTAACTGCTAGTAGTCCTTTGTTAATTTATGTATCATTGTCACTTTGCTTAGTTTCTTCTGTTACCTATTCTGACATCGGACTCGGACGTCTTTTCAACTGAGTTTTACTGTGCGTATTGCTGTGTCATGTGTGTGTTTGATTATTCTACATTGGCTAGAGGTATAGGGGAGGATTGAGATCTCACAAAACATGTTTAACCCCACCGCATTTTTGCGCCTGTCCAAAGTCAGGAGCCCCTGGCCTTTGTTAGTCTTGTATGTTTTTTTAGTTTTAGTTCATTTATATGTTTCGGGGTTTAGTGTGACGTACGTTTTGTTTAGGGGCCAACTGAAGCCCGCCTCCGGGTGCGGTATTTTCTCTCTGTGTTGAAGACCCATTGGTGGCCTTGGGCTGTTTTCTGCTCTTTGGTCGGGTTGTTGTCTCTTTGACACATTCTCCATTTCCATTCTCAATTTTATGATAAATAAATAGTATATGTATTGGCATTATAAAAATACGGAGATGTGGTATGATTGCCAGTGAGACAACTAAACATTAAAGACCAAATGATAAAGATATGAAAGCTATAAAAGATCCCGGGGTAACAAAATGTGTAACAATTCAAAAAAGATTACCAACGACTTGATATATGCTACAAAAATAATCGAAAAACAATTATATTAGACAGTAACCAGTGACAACCACTGGATTGCCTGACTTCGGACAAGCGTTTTAAGAAAAGTGTGGAGGACAGGTTTAGAGTTTAGGATACAATGTGTATGTGTATAAATGAGTGTGGAGGACAGATTCACTCTTTAGAATACAATGCGTATAAGTGAGTATGGAGGACAGTTTTACTGATAAGGATACAATGTGTATAAGTGAGTTAGGAGGACTGGTTTACTGTTTAAGATACAATGTGTATAAGTGATTGTAGAGGACAGTTTTACTGATTAGGATACAATGGGTATAGGTGAGTGTGGAGGATAGGTTTACTGATTAGGATACAATGTGTATAAGTGAGTGTGGAGACAGGTTTACTGATTAGGATACAATGTGTATAAGTGAGTGTGGAGACAGGTTTACTGTTTAGGATACAATGTGTATAAGTGAGTGTGGAGACAGGTTTACTGATTAGGATACAATGTGTATAAGTGAGTGTGGAGGACTGGTTTACTGTTTGGGATACAATGTGTATAAGTGAGGTGGAGGACATGTTTACTGATCAGGATACAATGTGTATAAGTGAGTGTGGAGGACTGGTTTACTGATTAGGATACAATGTGTATAAGTGAGTGTGGAGGACTGGTTTACTGATTAGGATACAATGTGTATAAGTGAGTGTGGAGGACAGGTTTACTGTTTAGGATACAATGAGTATAAGTGAGTGTGGAGGACAGGTTTACTGTTTAGGATACAATGAGTATAAGTGAGTGTAGAGGACAGTTTTACTGATTAGGATACAATGTGTATAGGTGAGTGTGTAGGATAGGTTTACTGATTAGAATACAATGTGTATAAGTGAGTGTGGAGACAGGTTTACTGATTAGGATACAATGTGTATAAGTGAGTGTGGAAACAGGTTTACTGTTTAGGATACAATGTGTATAAGTGAGTGTGGAGACAGGTTTACTGATTAGGATACAATGTGTATAAGTGAGTGTGGAGGACTGGTTTACTGTTTGGGATACAATGTGTATAAGTGAGGTGGAGGACAGGTTTACTGATCAGGATACAATGTGTATAAGTGAGTGTGGAGGACAGGTTTACTGATTAGGATACAATGTGTATAAGTGAGTGTGGAAGACAGGTTTACTGATTAAGATACGTGTATAAGTGAGTGTGGACGACTGGTTTACTGATTAGGATACAATGTGTATAAGTGAGTGTGGAGGACAGGTTCACTGTTTAGGATACAATGTGTATAAGTGAGTGTAGAGGACAGTTTTACTGATTAGGATACAATGTGTATAGGTGAGTGTGGAGGATAGGTTTACTGATTAGGATACAATGTGTATAAGTGAGTGTGGAGACAGGTTTACTGTTTAGGATACAATGTGTATAAGTGAGTGTAGAGGACAGTATTACTGATTAGGATACAATGTGTATAAGTGAGTGTGGAGGACAGGTTTACTGATTAGGATACAATGTGTATAAATGAGTGTGGAGGACAGTCTTACTGTTTAGGATACAATGTGTATAAGTGAGTGTGGAGACAGGTTTACTGTTTAGGATACAATGTGTATAAGTGAGTGTGGAGACAGGTTTACTGATTAGGATACAATGTGTATAAGTGAGTGTGGACGACTGGTTTACTGTTTGGGATACAATGTGTATAAGTGAGGTGGAGGACATGTTTACTGATCAGGATACAATGTGTATAAGTGACAATGTGTATAAGTGAGTGTGGAGGACAGGTTTACTGATTTGGATACAATGTGTATAAGTGAGTGTGGAGGACTGCTTTACTGTTTAGGATACAATGTGTATAAGTGAGTGTGGAGGACAGGTTTACTGATTAGGATACAATGTGTATAAGTGAGTGTGGAGGACAGGTTTGCTGTTTAGGATACAATGTGTATAAGAGAGTGTGGAGACAGGTTTACTGAGTGAGTATGGAGAACAGGTTTACTGTTTAGGATACAATGTGTATAAATGAGTATGGAGACAGGTTTACTGCTTAGGATACAAAGTGTATAAGTGAGTGTGGAGGACAGGTTTACTGTTTAGGATACAATGTGTACAAGTGAGTGTGGAGGACAGGTTTATTGTTTAGGATACAATGTGTATAAGTGAGTGTGAAGACATGTTTACTGTTTAGGATACAATGTGTATAAGTGAGTGTGGAGACAGGTTTACTGATTAGGATACAATGTGTATAAGTGAGTGTGGAGGACTGGTTTACTGTTTAGGATACAATGTGTACAAGTGAGTGTGGAGACAGGTTTACTGATTAGGATGCAATGTGTATAATTGAGTGTGGAGGACAGGTTTACTGATTAGGATACAATGTGTACAAGTTAGTGTGGAGACAAGTTTACTGATTAGGATACAATGTGTATAAGTGAGTGTGGAGGACTGGTTTACTGTTTGGAATACAATGTGTATAAGTGAGGTTGAGGACATGTTTACTGATCAGGATACAATGTGTATAAGTGAGTGTGGAGGACAAGTTTACTGATTAGGATACAATGTGTATAAGTGAGTGTGGAAGACAGGTTTACTGATTAGGATACAATGTGTAAAAGTGAGTGTGGAGGACTGGTTTACTGATTAGGATACAATGTGTATAAGTGAGTGTGGAGGACAGGTTTACTGTTTAGGATACAATGAGTATAAGTGAGTGTAGAGGACAGTTTTACTGATTAGGATACAATGTGTATAGGTGAGTGTGTAGGATAGGTTTACTGATTAGGATACAATGTGTATAAGTGAGTGTGGAGACAGGTTTCCTGATTAGGATACAATGTGTATAAGTGAGTGTGGAAACAGGTTTACTGTTTAGGATACAATGTGTATAAGTGAGTGTGGAGACAGGTTTACTGATTAGGATACAATGTGTATAAGTGAGTGTGGAGGACTGGTTTACTGTTTGGGATACAATGTGTATAAGTGAGGTGGAGGACAGGTTTACTGATCAGGATACAATGTGTATAAGTGAGTGTGGAGGACAGGTTTACTGATTAGGATACAATGTGTATAAGTGAGTGTGGAAGACAGGTTTACTGATTAGGATACAATGTGTATCAGTGAGTGTGGAGGACAGGTTTACTGTTTAAGATACAATGTGTATAAGTGAGTGTGGATGACAGGTTTACTGATTAGGATACAATGTGTATAAGTGAGTGTGGAGGACAGGTTTACTGATTAGGATACAATGTGTATAAGTGAGTGTAGAAGACAGGTTTACTGATTAGGATACAATGTGTATAAGTGAGTGTGGAGGACAGGTTTACTGTTTAAGATACAATGTGTATAAGTGAGTGTGGAGGACAGGTTTACTGATTAGGATACAATGTGTATAAGTGAGTGTGGAAGACAGGTTTACTGATTAGGATACAATGTGTATAAGTGAGTGTGGAAGACAGGTTTACTGATTAGGATACAATGTGTATAAGTGAGTGTGGAGGACTGGTTTACTGATTAGGATACAATGTGTATAAGTGAGTGTGGAGGACAGGTTTACTGATTAGGATACAATATGTATAAGTGAGTGTGGAAGACAGGTTTACTGATTAGGATACAATGTGTATAAGTGAGTGTGGAGGACTGGTTTACTGATTAGGATACAATGTGTATAAGTGAGTGTGGAGGATAGGTTAACTGTTTAGGATACAATGTGTATAACTGAGTGTGGAGGACAGGTTTACTGATTAGGAGACAAACATTAAATGGCGATTTCTGCTGAAACAATGAATATCATTCCTACCAAGTATACCCTAATTAAAAGAACTGTTTACCTATTCCCTGCTGGAGGGTAAGGATCATTATCAAAGCCATAAATGTCTTTATCATTGGCAGTATCCTGCATAAAAAAATTAGAAAATAATTAAGAACATTTTCTAATCAGTTAAAAATTAAAGTAAATACAAAAGCGTGATTGTATACCGCAAATGTCAACTTGTGTGGTCACATGATAATTAAACTACATTATTAAATATATCTAAGGTTCACAATACACAAGCCTGTTGCCTTATTGATCTAGTGCTTTAAGAAAATGTAATTTTTGCCGCATCCATTTATTGAACTAATTACATTAAATCAGAGGCTTTAGTACGGAAGGCATATCGTGCGTGTCTGATGAAGTCAGTTCATGGGAACATGTGAATTACAAACAATTAGTATACTATATAAAACTGTTTGTTTAAGTATGATACTATATAAAACTGTTTGTTTAAGTGTGATACTATATAAAACTGTTTGTTTAAGTGTGATACTATATAAAACTGTTTGTTTAAGTGTGATACTATATAAAACTGTTTGTTTAAGTGTGATACTATATAAAATAGTTTGTTTAAGTGTGTGAAAGAAATTTTTGTCATGAATCAATATTCGATATATATGAAAGTCGAGAAGGATCATTCATATTTCAGAATTCAAAATTAAGAATTCAAGATTCAAAATTCAAAATTCAAAATTCAGAATTCAGAAATCCTACATTAAGACAGATAACGTATGTTCCTCGCGTTTACGAAAGCCGATAAAGATCGCACTTTGGTACTGTGCCGAAAGCTTTGTTATAAAGTTTGTTAAGAACACGAAACCCTATAAAACAAGGCGAGGGGTCCGTAAAACTTTCGAAGGGATGACTCCAACTTTACAATTCGGAATCCTTGATACAACAGCTTCCTTGTTAGCAGCAACCCCTATCAAGGAAATGGGATAGCAATGCAAGTTCTAAAGTATCGTATCGTATCGTATATATTATCAATATGCAGGCGATGCTGGAATGTTGCTACACTGAAGTTCATAATGGGTAAATTGAAATCATGACAAGTAGATGAAAACCGGGTTGAATTCTGTTGTAGTTGTATCAACTTCTGTTGATGTAATTGCTACATCGGGGGTGTCCATTTTGTTCAAGCCGATTGTGCACTCTTCTTCCAAAGAAAACATCCTTGCTGGGATGGTCATCTGGAATATGTACCAATTTAAGCTTCATAATATAAAAAGATACTGTTTTTAAATGCAATATGTGACAAGTCCAATTTGTTTACATTTAACATCGGAGTTTTTGTCACATGCTAATCCTAATTATAATCTTCTTTTTTACTTTTTTCCTAGTTAGTTACCAGTTAGTATTATATCCATTTTGAGTAGTTACATTTTAGTGCAGAAAGGTCACTTGTGATATCACTATGACGTCATAAGCATCTCAAAATTTACGTTTTGGTCAAAATATATATGAGCAACAGCTTTACACAAAAATATATTGTACACCCATCGCCATTTTTGTAAAATACATTTTGTAGCAAAATATCTTTTTGGATAAAGCTGTTACAGTTGCTCATATCTTTATATAAATGACAAGATTTCAAAATGAGATGTTTTGGCAGATTTTGCTGTTTTGCACAAAATGCAAGATTTATGAAGCCCTAATACAAATATGCAAGACAAAATTCAAACATTTAATACTGATGTCCGACAGAATAATGTCTTGTCAACATTTGAAGGATGTTATTTGGTAGATCCATAAAAATTTTTGATTTTAGATTTCAAGTGGCTAAAAAAGAGATTTCATCACACCTCCTCCTTTACTGAAAAGGACGTATCAATGATATTTTATGCCAGCACAGAAAAACTGAATACTGGGCATATTATACCCTCCGGGACAAAACGCCGACTAGCATTAACATCGACTGTGATCACGTCGTATAGTTTATTGTCTTAACCAACAGACAAAGTTGCAGAGAGAAAAGTTTTATAAATAACGAACGGTTTAAGTCTCTAAATACCGTATACATACAGATAATGGTCAAGGAGTCTACTTACGACATTGGCAGCAAGGTCTAGATGGTCTGTCTGTAAACCATCATCCAACACTGCTATATTAATACCCTGACCAGAGTACCCTGCCGTCCAAGCTTCGTTGACTTTCAACGTCGGAGAAATATCACCATTCTAAAATAGTAACGACAGAAATTGAAGAATTATTATGGTTTATCTATAAAACACAATCTGATTATTTATCAGCCATTTCTAAACACTGAAAAATGAAAAGTCATGATCGTCTTTCCAGCTTGAAAACCTACAGAAAGTCATTAAATTCTTAGACTAATAACTCACTTTCTATCGATAGAAAAGTACATGAAACGATTGTAAACGCGTGAACTTTTTATAGTAATAAAGAACTAACAAGATTTCTTTACGAGATTAATTTCGTAACGAATTGATCGATGAGCATGAAACTTAAATTGTGTCTGTAACTTCTCATAGGAAGTCTACATGTAAAAATGAGAGCATAAGAGTAATTCTTTATCCATACATGGTCAAGAATAATGAATTAAATTGTACACTGAAAGCAAAGATAACATATACTACATGAAATGACACAACCGGAATTTGTCACAGAAAAAGCCTTTCCAGTTTTTCAGATGTTTTTACATCATACGGTGTTGTAAATTTAAGTATATTTGATTTTCAATAACTGATGTCATTAGAGAAATTATGAGAACTTTAAACTCCAAATTGCATTTATATATGAGCCAGTCCATACAAAAAGGTACAAAAACGAAAAATTTGCGAAATTCTAAAAAGTGTGCATAATTATTGCTACCAGACTTGTGTTCTATAACACACCGTTGCTTTTCCTCATACGATTAAGTAAGCTATACATACCTTCTGGTGCTTACAACCTCCCCCCCACCCCTTGTTTTTATTAGATTTTGCTCATTTATTTACTTTTTTATTCATTTGTTCATGTATAGTTTAAGTATCTTAACTTGCCACTTGATTATGTTCACTCGGGTAGCAGTGGGGTTAAGGCTCTCGCTTACAAAGCAGAAATCAATGCAATATAATAGGGGCAACGGTTCGAATCCCGTCCAAGGACGGTTGATTTATATAATATTAAATAACTTAACTTAACTTCGATTTCAAAAACACAAGATCACATCATTTTTGCATTATCCCTTACAAAAGGTAAAGGTAGGGATGATGAAAATGGTTGACTTTTTCTCTCTGTAGTGTCGTAAATTGTTTTATTTCGGCTCAGTTTAGCATTGTTACGGGTAACAAATGATTTTAACACTTGCTAAATTCAGATATATCTACGTCTCTTTCCGTTTTAACTGACAAATTCGGGACAGAATTGACCATTTTATCGATGTTTACATTAATACCACTTTTTATGGATAAAATCGTTTTTCAAAAATATTTTAACAAACTTTAACAACGTGTCCTGAAAAGTTTATCAAAACACTTTTTGTACCTTTTCGCATGGAGTGGCTCATTTAGTATTCCATTAATTTCATGTAAACACAAATTTAAAAAAAAATCGAAAAAAAATCTTGACGCTTTTGATTGTAATATTGTTGAATTAAAAAAAAAACATTAATAACACAAAGACAAACAAGCAAGTCTGTAGATGTATATCTGAAACAGTTAAAATGGTTCATGGTAAAGGTACATGTCATCCCTAAATACAAATTATATTTGATATTCGAAGTTATATATTAATGTAGGGTAAAAATAGCATATTAAGAAATCGCTTGATTGCATCATTTCCATAGAGGTTTAGCAGATTACAATGTATCTTGGAGAAAACAAATATCTAACCATTTAAAATCTAAACCATAACATACCAAATGCCAAAGATTCGGCCATTCTGTATCCATTGTTCTTGTCTTTCTGACGTATGCTTTTTCTTGTATAACCCAGGAAATCTGTAATGTTATACAATATATAAATAACAATTCTTCATATTCAAAAGCATAAATTTGTATTTGTATTTATGGAACGGGAAAGTAAATGCAGGTTAACATGGTTAAGTTCAAATGGTTTCTGAATACAGAGGGAGAAACTGTGAATTTAAAAAATACCATTCAAAGTTCATTGTCTTATTGCAGAACAATATTATTAGTTTGCTCACGTTGCCACTTGTTCTCAAGAAAAAATGAAACATTTTTTTAATTGAAAAGCATAATTATGTAAATCTTGTAATGTCATTCGGTTGAATAAAGCCAGTCAGATTAAAATGATGTTTTCATAAGTGTTTTCATTTTTATATGTACAGATTGCGTTTTTATTTCCCGCTTTTAGCTTTGTTTATCGAAAATTTTCCCAATAATTCTTCATTTAGCACGACAACGTTTTACTGTTTGCTCATTAAATTTTATGTGTGTTCAATTTATAAATTTTGATATGTGTTAATAATAAATAAATGTAGTTGTGTCGTTCTCGTATAACTATCCATTTAACATGCTTTATTTCATATGATACCCATATTTTATATATTGAATATTCGTCTGGCTATTCTATTGCTTGTCATCCACTTGTAGAGGCTGATATCCAGTTGAAATTAAACAAAAGAAATGGAACTCTTTATTAGAGAAGATAAAATTGGCTGAATTGATATATTTGAATTGTTTACATCTGTTTCTATGGCTTTAAAAGTTTAATGTACACAATGTAGATGCATAATTGAGGATTTTTTGCATCTAATATATATATACTCAAATGACAATATGAAGCAGTAAAAAAGAAATACTTCAAATACACATAGTTGTCTTTGTTTTAAAACATTTTCTTGACAATAAATCACACAAAGAATAAAAGCTTGTGGGAAAAGGGTTGCAGAGGTGTTGTGTTCACAAGGTATAAAGGGTACGGACGGAGAGATGAAGACTACAATAATAAGTGTGTCCATTCAAGGACAATACAAATGAGATAGTGTAAAACAATGTGCATTAAAGGTGTTAAAACTTCGTAAAACTTTAGTAAGAGTTATTTGACAAAATCTGTTTTGGAAGGGTTTGAACTTCTTTTGTTTAAATAATTTCCACTTTAGTTTGGATTTTTATTGGGTATTTTCATTTTGACGCAGTCAGTCGTACATCTTCCACATACCTCAGGTCTTTGTCTCAGTACTTCTACATCCGAGTCTTCTCTGAGAGTACTTAATATCTCTTTGGTTTTTGTCTGACGTATTTGAGCAGTGATATATTTTGTTTTCCCAATCCAAAACTGAAAGATTAAAATATTCATTATTTAAAAAGAAATTTGAAAAAAAAAAAAAAATTCAAAAGCAAAAAGTGTCTTTACATAACGTAAGGTAAGCTCGGAATCCAAATGAAGAGCCCCAATTTGCAAATATTTGTTTTTACTATTAAAATTAAATTAGAAACTTGTAATTCCCGCCTTGATGGTTTTGTTACATTTATAAAATCTGATAAAAGCTTACCGGTGTATATATATATATATATAGGACCGACACATGATTATATGGCAGGATGAAGTTAGGTTTTGAAATCTCAATCCTCTCACTTGATCAGGTATATAAATACATGCCATACGCTAAAACGCCTGCTTAACTGATTACTAATAGTTTTATGTTGAAAGTCTTAACTTTAAATGTTTAACTATACAAGTATCACATGAATTTAACATAATCAATGTTCCATGTAACTGTGGTCAAGGTCAAATGAACCTAATATAGTTGACATACTGCTTGTTGTATCTGATAAACATACCTATAATCCCTAAAAACTGTAATTTGACCAAAATACCTTGAGAACGAAGTCAAGGTCAGATGAACCTTGTCCAAACTGCCAATAACATCAAACAATCACCAAATTCACCATATACAGAAGACAAACTGTATATATTATTTGAGAAAAAGACGTATCCCCGAAAACTTAATATTATCTAATGAACCATGAAAATGAAATCAAGGTCAAATTAACCATGCCAGACAGACAATTACACCTTTCAATCATTACATGCATGTACCAAATTTAATTGACCTATAATTGCTTATAGTATATGAGAAACAGACCTAACCATGAAACTTAACATTGACTGTTGACCAATGAACCATAAAAATGAGGCAAAGGTTAGATGAATCCTGCCAGATAGACATGTACATCTTACAATCATTACATACAACAAATATAGTTGACCTATTGCTAATAGTATCTGAAAAACAGACAAAAACTAAACATTGTCCAAAGAAATATTTAAATGAGATAAAGGTCAGAAGTTCACCTTACACTCATTTAATACACCAAATATTGTTGGCCAATTGCTTATAGAATCTTAGAAACGGACCTTATCACATAACTTAAGTCTAGATCATGCATCCATGAAATGAAGTCGAGGTCATGTGAACCCTTTCTAACGGACCTATACACCTTGCAAGGATTCCATTTACCAAATATAAATGCCTATAAATTTACTCATAATCAGTGAGACATCCCAAGTCGTTCCGCCCCAAGTCGATTCGGCCAATATTTAAAGTCGATTCAGCCCCAATTTAAAAAAAAAAAAGATTCTTGTTCGATTTTAGAAGTGAAAAGAGGACTTAATCAAAATTAAACAACATAAGATAAAATCATTAAATTGAAAAGAGGACTTAATCAAAATTAAACAACATAAGATAAAATCATTAAATACATTGTATATTGTATACCAATATATTTGATGAGCTATTTATATATGTTAAAATATGTCATAATTAAAAAAGACAAGTATAAATACACAGAGGTAAACCAAATCCCGTTCAGAACCCCATAATGTAAAATCCCGTTCAGAACCCCATAATGTAAGATCCCGTTCAGAACCCCATAATGTAAGTCACATTCTCACTAAATATTTAAAATGTCTAAAAATACAGGTATTTTTTTCTTTTTTCTTTTTATAGTATTTGATTTGTAATTTGAATTTTAAATGTCAACAGATTTGGGAGTACGCTGACTTTTATTTCATTACATCCGACAGAATCAAGTAAATATATATATTATGCGTTACCTTGAACGATCTCTTGTAGGTATAAACTAGCAATTAGTAATCGCATGATTTAAAACTAGATTGAATATGTCTATTGATGTTTTAAAAAAAAAAGTTTATTTTCATAGACATTTTGTACCTCTACCGTTCCCATTTTGGATGTTTCTCTTTATCAGATTAGTTATGCATTATTAGTGTTTGTTGATGGAGGTCATCCGAGAGCACTTGGTTCACAATACCTATTTTATTAATTAATTATTATATTCTAAATTATACTGTTTGTGTTACACTTTTGTTAGTGAAAGACAGCAGACAGGTTTGTTGCTGGTAGTGCTGTTTGACAAGTTGTTAACCAGACATACTTATGCTGGTTCTTTCACTTGAAACATAGCCGATAGACAAAAGGCAAATAGACCAGGCTACAGACATCATTTGTTTGATTTGATATCATTTCGCTTACAATATAAAAATAAGAAGATGTGGTATTATTGCCAATGTGACAACTCTCCACAAGAGACCAAATGACACAGAAATTAACAACTATAGGTCACCGTACAGCCTTCAACAATTGAGGAGAGCGGAAAGTTTAACAGTGCAACTGTTAAACATGTTACAATGATATATGAAATGAATACTAGGTACAATTGTACATATATAAAAATCTTTACCATTTATTAGCCTTTTGACTTCCCTTGAAACCATGCCTAAATGATTGAGTAATTGCAAACGTAAAATGTAGACTAAACCCATTAGTATAAGTAGTTCAGTACATTTTACTTAATAGTACTTTATTTTATTGTTGTAGTATATTTATACTAATCAGATAACTTCAAATCGGTGTCAGGACTGTATTAGTGTTGGTCTTGTTGTTTTGCATATTAAATAGATTTAGTTATCTCTATCAAAACTATGCGAATCTAGTAAAGGATAAAATCAAACAAAAATATATTTTAACTACCGACAGTTACTGCGTTCTAATTGAATAGAATGAATATGATATATGACATCGCACTTAACGGAATTATAGTAGGTACTAGTAACAAGTTTTATTACATATATATATATATGTATAATTCGTCTAAACAACATCCCAACAATGTTAGATCTGTAAATTTGCGGAAGCACATTTTTTTGTTCTTCCCTGGCCGGGATTCGAACTCATTCTACTGAGATATCGTGGCACCTGTTAGTCAAATGCGTTTTGTTTAAATATACTTTTTTACTTTTTTGGTCTTTTGGAAAATATTGTTTGTGCTGTATTTAGACCCCTCTACCAAGACATTTGTTTTGCATGTTCACGTATAAAAATTGCGGTTTTTTTATCCAACGCAATCATAGGTTTGAACGTTGTTTTCAATTTAGACTTATTTATATTTTTTCGTTTAGGCTTGTATTATATTTGCCTTCGGGTTTATATGATCCGTTCATCCTATTTCGACTCTTCAAAATTCAAGCGTCTATCCTAAATTGAGGTAAATTATATGGCCTTCAAAATACCGTTTCGATTCCTAACATCACTGAAGAGAATTAATTGTCTACCGAGACATTTGTTTTGCATGCACACGTATAAAAATTGCGGTTTTTATCCAACGCAAATATTCTACCGAGACATCTGTTTTGCATGCACACGTATAAAAATTGCAGTTTTTATCCAACGCAAATATATATATATATATAAATATATATATAAACAAGTCTAAATTGAAAACAACGTTCAAACCTATGATTGCGTTGGATAAAAATCATAGGTTTGAACGTTGTTTTCAATTTAGACTTGTTTATATATACAAGTCTAAATTGAAAACAACGTTCAAACCTATGATTGCATTGGATAAAAACCGCAATTTTTATACGTGTACATGTAAAAAATTTCTTGGTAGAGGGGTCTAAATACAGCGCAAACAACATTTTCCAAAAGACTAAAAAAGTAAAAA